AAATGGTTCATCAGACTGATGGAGAATGTGTTTTATAGGGTTCTATATAGAACCTTTTCAGGTGCTATATAGAACCCTTTAGTTATGCAAAGAGTTCTTTACTAAAGAATCCTTGAAGAACCATCTTCTAAGAGTGTAGGTGAACCCCAAAGAGAAAATATGATCATTTGTGTGTGAAGGGTTCTTTGAGTATTCACTGTGTTCTGTGTTTTATATGGTTCTTTATAGAACCTTTTTGAAAAAGGTTTTATTTAGCACCAAAAAGGGTTCTTCTATGTTACAAGCTTGACTTGACAGCAATAGGATAACCCTTTTGAGTGCTATATAGAACCCCTTAGTTATGCAAAGAGATCTTTGAGTGTTCATGGTTCTGTATAGAACCATCTTCTTTACTAAAGATCCCTTGAAGAACCATCTTTTAAGAGTGAAGGTTTTAAGACATTACATATCTGCAAACCCAAAAGAGAAAACATGATCATTTGTGTGTCAAGGGTTCTTTGAGTGTCCATGGTGTACCGTGTTTCATACGGTTCTATATAGAACCTTTTTAAAAAGGGTTCTATTCAGCACCAAAAGAGTTCTTCTATTGTTACAAGCTTGACATTGCAAGAATAGAAGAACCTTTTTGGTTGCTATATAGAACCCTTTAGTTATGCAATGAGTTCTTTAAGTATTCATGGTTCTATATAGAACCAACTTCTTTACTAAAGAACCCTTGAAGAACCATTTTTTAAGAGTGTAGGCTTTGATATGTTACATATCTGCAAACCCAAAAAAGAAAACATGATCATTTGTGTGTCAAGGGTTCTTTGAGTGTTCATGGTGTTCTGTGTTTTATATGGTTCTACAAAGAACCTTTTTGAAAGGGGTTCTATACAGCACCAAAAAGGTTTTTTTTATGTTACAAGCTTGACTTCACAACAATAGGATAACTTTTTTTGGTGCTATATAGAACCCTTTAGTTATGCAGAGAGTTCTTTGAGTGTTCATGGTTCTATATAGAACCATTCTCTTTTTTAAAGAACCCTTGAAGAACCATGTTTTAAGACTGTAGGCTTTAACATGTTACATATCTGCAAACCCAAAAGAGAAAACATGATCATTTGTGTGTCAAGGGTTCTTTGAGTGTCCATGCTGTTCTGTGTTTCATACAGTTCTACACAGAACCTTTTTGAAAATGGTTCTATTCAGCACCAAAAAGGGTTCTTCTATTGTTACAGGCTTGACATTGCAAGAGTAGAAGAACCCTTTTGGGTGCTATATGGAACTCTTTGGTTACGCAAAGAGTTCTTTAAGTGTTCATGGTTCTATATAGAACCATCTTCTTTACTAAAGAACCCTTGAAGAACCATTTTTTTAAGAGTGTAGGCTTTGATATGTTACATATCTGCAAACCCAAAAGAGAAAACATGACCATTTGTGTACAAAGGGTTCTTTAAGTGTTCATGGTGTTCTGTGTTTCATATGGTTCTGTATAGAACCTTTTTGAACAGGGCTCTATACAGCACCAAAAAGCATTCTTCTATTGTTACAAGCTTGACTTCACAACAATAGGATAACTTTTTTGGGTGCTATATAGAACCCTTTAGTTATGCAAAGAGATCTTTGAGTGTTCATGGTTCTATATAGAACCATTTTCTTTTTTAAAGAACCCTTGAAGAACCACCTTTTAAGAGTGAAGGCTTTAAGACATTACATATCTGCAAACCCAAAAGAGAAAACGTGATCATTTGTGTGTCAAGGGTTCTTTGAGTGTCCATGGTGTTCCATGTTTCATACGGTTCTATATAGAACCTTTTTGAAAAGGGTTCTATTCCGCACCAAAAACGGTTCTTCTATTGTTACAAGCTTGACATTGCAAGAATAGAAGAACCCTTTTGGGAGCTATGTGGAGCCTTTTGGTTATGCAGAGAGTTCTTTAAGTGTTCATGGTTCTATATAGAACCATTTTCTTTACTAAAGAACCCTTGAAGAACCACCTTTTTAAGAGTGTAGGCTTTGATATGTTACATATCTGCAAACCGAAAAAAGAAAACATGATCATTTGTGTACAAAGGGTTCTTTAAGTGTTCATGGAGTTCTGTCTTTTATATGGTTCTATAAAGAACCTTTTTGAAAGGGTTCTATACAGCACCAAAAAGGTTTTTTATGTTACAAGCTTGCCTTCACAACAATAGGATAACTTTGTTTGGTGCTATATAGAACCCTTTAGTTATGCAAAGAGATCTTTTAGTGTTCATGGTTCTATATAGAACCATTCTCTTTTTTAAAGAACCCTTGAAGAACCATGTTTTAAGACTGTAGGCTTTAACATGTTACATATCTGCAAACCCAAAAGAGAAAACATGATCATTTGTGTGTCAAGCGTTCTTTGAGTGTCCATGCTGTTCTGTGTTTCATACGGTTCTATACAGAACCTTTTTGAAAAGAGTTCTACTCAGCACCAAAAAGTGCTCTTCTATTGTTACAAGCTTGACATTGCAAGAATAGAAGAACCCTTTTGGGTGCTATGTGGAACCCATTAGTTATGCAGAGAGTTCTTTGAGTGTTCATGGTTCTATATAGAATCATTTTCTTTACTAAAGAACCCTTGAAGAACCATTTTTTTAAGAGTCTAAGCTTTAACATGTTACATATCTGCAGACCCAAAAGAGAAAAGGCCAGGACCCCCTGGCCCAAAGTTAGTACACACTGCTATAACCTAAGAATAGCTCAGTGAAGCGAAGCCCCTGTAGTTACTGAGTAATAAGCCTCAGTGTGTAATAAGCCTGGGAATTTAAGGGGTTAAGTAGGAGGCAAAGCATCCCCAGACTTCTACCAGGCAGTGTGTATTTGCAGACCTTTTCCTTTATCGTCCAGCAGTGAGGTTGAGAGATAAGCTGTACCAGCAACATTCGCTCCAGGGCTTTGACAGCATGAGGACAAAACTCACACAGTCACGCTGTGTCCTACAGGAGTTCCTGAGGACTTTGGCCCTGGAGGGCGCAGCCTGTGGGGGCTGGGAGCTGATGGAGAAATTTACAGGCATGCAGCAGAGAGAGGTTAATTGCCGCTCACTTTATACGGGTAAATGTTTAACAGCCGGATTGAGTAACTGCACGGAAAGAGCAGCAAGAGGCTTTTACAGCTCCACCAAACAATAACGGCTTCTGCTGGATGGGATCGTCTTGTGGTCTACAGAGTGTCGGAGGCAGCTGGTGGGGATTTCGAAATCAAGATGCACTGTTTCTCATACAGAACAGGCAGAAACTACACGAAGCTGAAGTTTTTGAGTTTGACCAAATTTTTTTACTGCTCCTTTTTATTATTAGACAGTTTTTGTCATTTGTTTTGGTCATTTTCACTGGAAAAAATTAGGTTTGCCCAACTTAAAACGATACAGTGACTGTTTACATGGCTTTTCTTGAGTTGACTCAACTTGAGTTCACCCAGCTCAAACCTCTTAGTTGAGTCCAAAATTCTTCTAGCTCTGCATCTCAGTTAGATAAACAAAACAGAATTGGTGTTATTTTACTCAGTTTCCCCACTAGCTGGCGCTCTGTCTATCACACAGTCCCATCTGGCATATTCTCCTCTTGGGCTTCTGGATAGGGACAGCTGTGGTGTTGCTGGGATTCAAACTCACAACCTCCTGATGTTGGGATGAATCATTAGACAGCTGCACCACATGAGACGATGCTTGAAAGTTAAAACGACACATATTTTCTCCAGTGTTTAAAACATCTATAGACACTCAATCTGAGCTGCTTCATGTGTTCCTGAGTGGTGCAGTGGACTAAGCTGTCACCCCAACAGGAGGTTGTGAGTTTGAGCCCCAGCGATGCCACAGCCATCCATAAATGTGTACTCAAGAGGAAAAATGTCCAGCAGGACTGTGTGATGGAAAATTCCTGGCTAGTGGGGAAGTTGAGTATAAAAAACAAGCTCACTGAGATGCGGAACTAAACAATTAAGAGAATTTTTGACTCAACTAAGAGGTTTAAGTTGTGTCTACAAGTTGAGTCAACTCAAGAAAAGCCATGTAATCAGTTACTGTATCATTTCTCATCTTTAACAGTGTTGACATTAAGAACGTGGTCATGTGTGAAATCGGGTTCTTTAAGGGCTGCATATGTGCTGTATTTGTCATACAGAGCATACAAAGCTATGTTCAGCTTGAGCAGGTCAAGCAGTTGAAAATTAAAATGCTACAAAAATGGAGATCCTTGTTTTTGGACTGTGATGTTATAGTAAACTTTGTTTGAAAGTGCCTAAACAATATATTGTCTTCCATAATGTTTAACTACATCTTTTACGCTTTGACTTTTTTATTACACTTTTATTATGACAGGATTACGTTTACTTCATCAATCCCGTTTTTCTATAATGCTTAGCTACATTAGAAATGCGAGTCACCAGCAATGCACCATGAGTTTAAACAAAGGTTGATAGACTGACTGACTGACAATGACTGACTCACTGACTGATTGATTGACAGACTGACTGTTTGATTGACTGATTAACTGACTAAATGACTGACTGATTGACTGACTGTCTGACTGATTGACTGTCTGACTGACTGATTAACTGACTGACTGACTGCCTGATTGATTGTCTGACTGACTGACTGTCTGATTGACTGACTGGCTGACCGACTGAATGGCTGACTTGTTGATTGACTGACTGGCTGACTAATTTACTGACTGACTGACTGACTGAATAAATGAATTGATTGATCGACTGACTGACTGAATGACTCACTGACTGACTGTCTGACTGACTGATTGATCGACTGGCTGACCGATTGGCTGGCTGACTGACTGACTAGCTGAGAGTCTGATTGACTGAATAAATGAATTGATTGATTGACTAACTAAGTGGCTGGTTGATTGACTGACTGGCTGACTTATTGACTGACTGGCTGACTGACTGACTGGCTGACTGGCTGACTGGCTGATTGACTACTAAAACTACAAGCTACATGCTACATATGCCATAAAGCCAAACAAGCAAAACCTACATGAAGCTCCAGACGTCACATTTTTATTTCTTATTATTTACATCTTTATTGTTCATTTATAAAGTTAACAAAACCTATTTACACAATGTACAGACATTTACATATTTTCAGTGCTCTTCTCAAAATCCACACTCTTAAAACTCAAGGTTCCTGAATGGCTTCTAAAACATATGGTTCTAGAAAAAACTGTTCATTGGTATAGAACATTCACATCATGTGGAGGTTCTTTAACCTTCAAAAAAGTTCTGTACACTATATATTATTTACAAAAGATTTAAAGAACCTTCCATTTAAGGTTCTGTAGAAACGAAATGTGGCATTTTCTTTGGCACCATGTATTTTTTCGAGTGCAGGAGTGGAACAGGCAGAAAAACAGCAGCTGTGGAGTCTCTCCATACGCAAAGCTCTCAGGTCTGGGGTTTTTAACCTTGGTGCAGATAACGGAAGCCCTGGCCTGAGGATTCTGGGATGAGGTGACAGTGTTTCCAGAGTTTTATTCAGTCTCTGGACCGGCTGAAGAACTGGTCTCTGCTGGACTCGACTCAGAGACCTCATGTAGTGGAAAAGAGGTAGATTCTGAGTACGCAGGAGGAGGATCACGAGGAATAAAGTCAGGCTTCAGCTCCAACTGCAAAAGACAGACAGACAGATAGACAGTCAGACAGTCAGATAGATAGATAGACAGACAGACAGAACGACTGATAGACAGATAGACAGGCAAATAGACAGACAGACAGACAGACAGACAGATAGATAGATAGATAGACAGACAGAAAGACTGATAGATAGACAGACAAATAGATAGACAGACAGACAGACAGACAGACAGCTAGATAGATAGATAGATAGATAGATAGATAGATAGATAGATAGATAGGCGGGCAGGCAGGCGGACAGAACGACTGATAGACAGACAAATAGACAGACAGACAGACAGACAGACAGACAGATAGATAGATAGATAGATAGATCAGACAGAAAAACTGATAGATAGATAGTCAGACAAATAGATAGATAGATAGATAGATAGATAGATAGATAGGCAGGCAGACAGACAGACAGATAGATAGATAGACAGACAGATAGACAGAAAAACTGATAGACAGATAGACAGAGGATTATTATTAATCTCAGAAGAAAACTCATTACAAGTACACACGAAAACTTATAAGGACGCTACTACAAATAATAGACTTAATTAAACAAAGAACCCCCTAATTAACTTTTTGGAACCCCTTCATGTGTCAAAATCAAAATTCTGGGGAGTCTCTGAATATAAACTCATGACATAAATCTGTCCATTCGGGAAAAACAGATGCTCAAATACAGATTCAGTAAAGTTTAATGCTTATCTGCTTCAGTCACAATCAGCTTCTGTCTTTGTTAATCTTAACTAGAGCTGCAGCACTGCTCTGCCTCAGGGTGGCGCTGTAGCAGACCAGTTCACCTAGTTGGTCCTTAATAGCCTAGAAACTGTAACTCTGCCCTCCTCGGTCTCCTTTGAGCTGCTGAAGATTTAGCATAATACAGTATTGATTAGATAAAGCATGTGTTGGATAATAACTACAGTTAATACTGATCTTGATGGGCTGGAAATGATTAAACAAAACACTGACATACATAAAATCACTTGTTTTATTATGTAATATTAGTGTTTTTCTGAGAAAATCAACACTGATCAGATAAACAGCTTTTTTAATATAATTTTCTCAGGTGCCTGAACCTTTAGTGAAGGACTGAATACCATTATATATTTGCAATAATCTCATATCTCCATTTTTGTCATTTTTCAGTTTGACATAATTAGAAAAATGCCTATTTCCTTTTACCTAGTGTGTTGAAATTGCACGATGAATGGACCAAGAGAAACTGCCTTTTGTTTTTGTGTATATATATATATATATATATATATATATATACACACACACACACACACACACACACACACATCACTGCATGGACTCAGAAACACTTCTGAAAAACTGCCACCTTCTCTGGGCCCGCGCTGATTTAAAATGGACTGAGGCGAAGTGGAAAAGTGTCCTGTGTCTCCCAGGCTAAAGACCACTCAGCTTGTTATCAGTGCAGTTCAAAAGCAAGTATTCATGATGGTATAGGGGGGCATTAGTGCAAAAGGCATGGGTGACTGGCACATCTATGAAGGCACCATTAATGCTGAACGATATATACACGCTTTGGGCAACATATGCTGCCATCCAGACAACGTCTTTTTCAGGGAAGGCCTTGATTATTTCAGCAAGACGATGTCAAACCACATTCTGCATGTATTACAGCAGCATGGCTCCGTATTAAAAGAGTCCGGGTGCTAAACTGACCTGCCTACAGTCCAGACCTGTCACCACTGAAAATATGTGGCACATAATGAAATTAAAAATATGACAAACGAGCCCCCAAACTGATGAGCAACTGAAATCCTGTATCAAACAAGAATGGGAAAACATTTCACTTTCAAAGCTACAGCAGTGTCTCCTCAGTTCCCAAACGTTTACAGAGTGCTGTTAAAAATAGAGGTGATGAAACACAGTGGTCAACAGGCCCCCGTCCCAACTTTTTTGGGCTGTGTTGTTGGCATCAAATTCAAAATGGGCATATATTTTTCAATAAACAATAAAATTTCTCAGTTTCAACATTTGATATGTATATATGTATGTTAGGGGTGTTATGATTCTCCAAATCAATGGTTCAGTCCAGACTTTAACTTTTGAGCCATGCTTCATTTCATACCTTGATTTTTTTGTTTGTTTGTTTGTTTGTTTGGTTTGTTTTGTTTTTTGAGTAGGGTACAGGGTGAATAAGTAAAAAAAAATGGAAAAAAAGTTCTGGGTTTTATTTAATCACCTACAATTTACAACACTTAAGAATGTGACAGATTAACTTCACATAAATGAACTACGTGAAAAAAATAAACAGAATAATAATTCTGTGATTTAGTGTTAACTTTAGAATAGAAAATGAGTTTTGTTACAATAGTAATGTAATGAGAGCTCAACAGGCTGCAGCTGCAGCGGCGCCAGCGAGTTTGGGTTGAGGGGGCTGGTAACACGGTTTCATTTTACCGAATCGCGACACGAGACTGTGGACGTTTGTATCAAGGTTTTGACCTCGCTTTCAGAATACTTAGACCCCTTACGTATCGCTGCTGTTGGAACAAAACCTCATATCTCCAAAATGGTAACTTTACAGGACAAGGAAAAAAACCTGCTTTGCTTTTAATGTAAGTCAATGGAACCAGAATTTTTTCCAAGTCATTTTGGGCCGTTTCTTTTGAAGATGATGTCCATTCATTATGAAATTTACACACAGTGTAAAGGGCAACAGGCATTTTCAAACTATGTCAAAAGCTGAAAAATGACAAAAATGGAGAGATGAGGTTTTGTTGCGACAGGAGCGAAATATATATATATATCAATAACACTGTTTCCATGTATATATAAAATATAAAAGGATATAAAAGAATAAATCCACATCCTTTACTGTGGCTTTTAATAGCGCTGAAATTCTAGGATAAAAGTCAAGGATAAGATCATAAAGGTCGGGGATAAAACCTCATTTTCAGTAGACTTAGCACTCAGCACTTTAGCAGGAGAAGGTTCCTGCATATCTAGTTCTAGGAAAAACCTCTGATCAGTATAGGACCTAGATTATTATTACCACATCGCCTTCTGTCACAAGAGCCTGATGGTGGTTGGTTACAAAATCTACTTTTTTTCTCGTAATAATCATTTTCTCATTCTCCTGATGCAGAAAGTGAGGTGAATGAAGGTCTTAGTGATGTATTCAGTGGTAACGGCAGTTACCTCGTGATAAGCGGGAGGGGGGCTGTAGTGGTCCACTGTAGCAGTGCTGTAGTGTGGGGGTCGACGCAGCTGCTCGTCAGGTGGTGAAAAGGGGATGACGAAGATGGATGGCCGCTCTGGAGTGCTGAGAGTCCGAGTCCGTGACTGGCTCTCCAGCTGCTCCCTGCGGACCCTCTGGAGGGCCTTACAGAGGGAGAAGCAGCAGAGAATCACGATAGCGAAGGCAACTACCGGAACAAAGACCCTGCAGGAGAACGCAAGTGTTTACAGGGTGTGGAGAGGAGACCAGAGATCAGTGTCCACTTACTGTATCTTACACATCATCTTCTATGAATGATTCAGCATCTACTATGATTTATTCAGTATCTATTATGAATTATTCAGTATCTACTATGAATTATTCAGTATCTACTATGAATTATTCAGTATCTACTATGAATTATTCAATATCTATTATGAATTATTCAGTATCTACTATGAATTATTCAGTATCTACTATGATTTATTCAGCATCTACTATGAATTATTCAGTATGTACTATGATTTATTCAGTATCTACTATGAATTATTCAGTATGTACTATGATTTATTCAGTATCTACTATGAATTATTCAGTATGTACTATGATTTATACAGTATCTACTATGAATTATTCAGCAACCACTCCAAATTATTCAGTATCTACAACTAATTATTCAGTTTGTACTATGATTTATTCAGTACTATGAATTATTCAGTTTGTACTATGAATTATTCAGTATCTACTACAAATTATTCAATATCTATTATGAATGATTCAGTATCTACTATGATTTATTCAGTATCTATTATGAATTATTCAGCATCTACTATGAATTATTCAGCAATTCAGCATCTACTATGATTTATTCAGTATCTACTATGAATTATTCAGTTTGTACTATGAATTATTCAGCATTCACTCCAATTTATTCAGTATCTACTATGAATTATTCAGTTTGTACTATGAATTATTCAGTATCTACTATGAATTATTCAGCATTCACTCCAATTTATTCAGTATCTACTATGAAATATTCAGTTTGTACTATGAATTATTCAGTATCTACTATGAATTATTCAGTATCTATTATGAATTATTCAGCATCTATGAATTATTCAGTATCTACTATGAATTATTCAGTATCTACTATGAATTATTCAGCATCTACTATGAATTATTCAGCAATTCAGCATCTACTATGATTTATTCAGTATCTACTATGAATTATTCAGTTTGTACTATGAATTATTCAGTATCTACTATGATTTATTCAGTATCTATTATGAATTATTCAGCATCTATGAATTATTCAATATCTATTATGAATTATTCAGTATCTACTATGAATTATTCAGTATCTACTATGAATTATTCAGTTTCTACTATTAAAATAATGTGCAGGTTCTGTCGTTATGAGAGTGAGGAACTGAAGTGCGGAGTCCACATACAGACCCTTCGAGTTAAAAGCGTTAGAAAGGGAAGAGACACTTACTGTATAATAGGAAAGGATCCATTTGATAACATCATGCTGCAGAAATGCCCAAATCTCAAAGGAAATCTGAGGAAAGAAAATTGATTGAAAATCAGTCTGAAATGTTATTAATTTTTTAAGCTCACTCTTACTGGAATATTCAGACTTAGCAATGTGAAACGATAATAACTTTGTTTGGATGTACTGACCCTTCCCTCTAAGGGGACAAGTGGCCAGCAGAATGCAGCACACAGCATAACAAAGCCACCAGACCTCCTCGCTGTAGGGGTCAGGCCCTGTACTGTCTCTTGGTGTACACTGCACATGCACTCTCCCACTTACGGAGAACATGGTGAAAGATGAAGGATCTGACCAGATCACTGTTTTCTCATCTCTTTTTACACCACTGACCTCTCAGATGGTCATTCATCTTTGTAATGAGGTGCAGCCTCTCTATGCAGCTGTGGATGGACTGTTCTGCATTGATGATTGAAAAGCTGCTCTCATGTATTGCACTGATGTATGAGCTTCACGCTCACTGAGTGCAATTTCAAGCACAATTTCCAGCCCTGCTTACTGTCTTTCCCACAGATCTACAGATCCAAGTGCACAGCCAGTGGAGCAGTCACTGCCACTGTAGCTCCATCAGTGCCCCAGTAATGAACCCTCAAACTCACTTAGATATTTTCTTCTTGCCATCTTGATCCACACTGCACTGTTTCTCCACGTATTTATTCAGATTCGCCTTTAATTTGTCACTCTGTATAATCAGAATAAGCATTAGCACACATACTACAAACGATTCAGAACTGCTCTGCTTCTACAGAGCAAAACATGGGTTCTCTAGTAAAGACAATGGTTCTGTGTGAACCATGAACGCTCAAAGAACCATTTGAATGCATAAATGGAGCTGCGCTTGGTGAAATGGTTCTTCAGGCCGATGGAGAATGTGTGGTATATGGTTCTATATAGCTCCAAAAAGGGTCAACGATGTCAAGCCTGTGACAAGAAGAACCTTTTTTAGTGCTATTTAGAACCCTTTTCAAAAAGGTTCCATACATAACCATCCTCAACACATTCTCCATCAATTTGAAGAACCATTTCACCATGCAAAGAACCCTTTAAGCATGCAAACTCAGGTTCAAACTACTTTCCTAACTGAAGAATCCTTGAAGAAGCATCTTTTTAAAGAGGGTAGGATACATTGGTTGGTTGCCAGTGGTCATAAAATCAGTCAATGTCACTGATTCAAGGTGACCAATGGATGAAGAGATCTGATAGGCCCTCAAAGGCTCCACCCTCTTCAAACATCCAGTTCCCTCCAAACATCAGTGCTAACAACTACAGGAGGGGTCGGCAACACACGGCTCTGGAGCTGCGCTTGGCTCTTTTACTGCCCTGTTGTGGCTCCACAGAATCAGATTAGTAGGTAAAAATAAAATAATCCTCCTCTACAGTAAAATAAAGCTCTGCTGATCGTTCAACACAGTTTAACAATAAATGGTCTTAAACTCTGGAGTTAATGTAGAACTGCTAATTCACCCTTTAACCCTGAAGATCAGCGCAGACTGCTGGTCACCATAGCAACACAGACAATCTCGCCTAGCTAGTAGCTAACGAAACGGCAAAGAGAGAGATTTAAGACGAACATCGATAATTTGGAGCTGAATGGACTTATTTGTGTTTATAATCACTCCAGCTGGTTTCCTGATACGTTTAATCTGCAGTGAGAAACTGATGAACACTAAAAAGTCAGTTTCTCATTCGCCAGCTTCTCGTTGTCATTTTTCCCGTCCCATCTTAAATGATGCAGCAGTTACATTCAGGTGCCTCAGGCGCCATTTAAGGTGGAGCGAGAAAATCCAAAATAGAAACTGGTGAAGGAGAAGCGACTTCAGCCTCGTAAAAAATTTAATATTGACATTTTACAAGAAACTGTTCTACTTTTGAGGAAAAGTTTCCTGCTGGAGATGCGAGAAAAGCGGCTATAGCTGAGCTAAAGCTTAAAGCAGAGCAAAGTAAGTCTGTGTTTTCATTTATATTTTTTAGCCTATACTAGAACATCAGCACCTACCGAGACAGATTTACAGCCAAGATGGTAAAATGGACATAAAATGTTGTGGCTCGAAAGAACAAAATGGCTCTTCTTAACATTTGGGTTGCAGATCCCTGATTTACAGGAACAATAATGAGGAACAGAAATGCTAAATTGATGTATCAGTCGCATTACTGAGCGTGATTTGATCTACCTTCAATGTTTTGCATTAGCTGCCTCAACGACAGCTGTAAAAGTGCAGCTCTTCTAAAAGCTCCCCCTAGTGGGGAAAGTACAGCCTGCTCAACATGTGTGAGTGAGTTACAGGCCAGTTCAATGAGGTGCATCTAAAAACAAGGGAGGTTTATCATTTACTGCATGCAGTTACCTTAGGAGATGATGCACGCCTCACACTGAGCCAATTTACTGTACTCTCTATTTTCATTTACAGCTCAATTTAGATGTGGCCACTTTGCTGGTTGTGAGATGCGTATCACAATGTGTCCAGACATTTTATTAAGTGACTCACTAAATAAAAACATCCCGTTTTCCTACACGTCTTATTTGAATAACGTTACGGAAAAACAAATACTAAGCTGAGATTGTCGGTTTCACCTGGTGGGCCTCCGGAGTAAAAGTGTGCCTGGGGCCTCCAAGTCTACAGCCAACCCTACTGACCATAGACTAAATCTCTTAATGTAAAGTAAATAAACAGGTGGCAGTTTAATTACCTAATCATGATCTGAACCATCCTAAGCTCATAATTCTCCCACTGGAACCATTTGTATTGGGTCAGAGTTGAGCAGCAATGATCTTTTTTAAAGAGCACGTCCTCTGTTTAATGCTTACACACCGAATTAGCAGTAAAAAACTACAGGCAAAGGAATAAAGACCAATAAACATTTCATTTAACAAGCTTTTCTCAGAGCAACGAGGAAACCACGTTTGTCTAATTCATCATATTCCTGTCCAGAATTATGTAAAACATTATCTCTTAATGGCTGGTGGCACCAGCACCCTTAACAAGCTCTATCAAGAACTGTTTTTTATTGGCATCGCAGCCATTTTTGATCTTAACTGTGTTTGTTCCCAGAAATAAAATCCAAAAGGTCATGAAGGAACATAAGCTCGGCGTAAAGGAGTAATAAACCTTCTTAAACAGACTGCAGCCAACTTCAACAGCAAATGTAAGAAGATTAGTAGAAATCTTTTCAACGGGGTTTATATGCTGATTCCCAAACACTGCTGAACGTTTTCCTGCAGGGTCTGTAGTATAAACACATGGAAATATCTAGGATTTGTACCAAAAGGAAACTTTACCAGCTATACTTTTCACGTTTGATCAAACAGCCAGCCGCATTACGGAGCTTCCACAATGACGATTACATAAAGTCTAGTTATTTATTGGGGCCCAATCAAATGCAGTATCATGTGTGCAGAGCTAGAGCTGCCAAATCCACACCAGCCATCCAGCTGTGGTTAGAATTTTACATTTAAGACACAAAATGCACAACTTAATCCTTAGAGCTTCACATTTACTGTGCAAAATTAAGAATTTGTATGTAAAACTTTATATCTAAGCCATAAAACAAAATTTTCATCTTCAAAACTTTACATTTAAGCAGCAAAATTAAGAATTCATCAGCAAATCTTTGCACTTAAGTGAAGAAATGTTTAAAAAATCTTCACAACTTCACATTAAATCCACAAAACAAAAATGTAATTTTCAAAAACTTTACAT